AAATTTTTATGTGGTGCTAAAGATTGAACCCAGGACCTTGCACATGCTAGGCAAGTGCTTTGCCACTGAGCCACAACCCCAGCCCCCTATTCATTTATCTTTATGTGGTGCTGAGGATCGAACCCAGGGCCTCATACATTCGAGGCAAGTGCTCTATCACTGAGCCAAGGCCCCAGCCCCCAAAGTGTTATTCTTGATGTATGTTCCATTTACAAATTACACATACTGAGATATGAAAATGAATTACTAAAATATGAATCTATTTAATGTATTTAAGCAGTAAAGTCTTACATAAAGAAGAGATGAGCATTGACACAAATGGAACAAGTACTGGATTAAGAGGGTGACATAAATAGCAATGTCTTAAAATGGTCCTTTTGCAACCTAGGAAAGAAGAGAACTGAAGAAGATGCTCTGGGGAACTGATAGGGAAACAGAGAGGGACTAAGTAAAAGTGGATACTGAAAGGTTAGGGCACATGAAAGTTACACAGTGAGAAGGTGAGCAAGTGACATCAAGGGACCAGTGACATCAAGCCAGTCACAATAAGCTCTTTTAAGGTGCAAGAACAGAAGCATGGTGAGGTACTGATGGAGTTTATTAACAGGCCACATGGGAAGCCATTTCAGTGGCCACCCCTTCAACCCTGGGCAGCTCAGTAGCTGTGGGCAGTTCCTATAGTGTGTCTCCTGTAACTCTGCTGCTTATTATTTACTTTTAGGGTGTGACGACTGTTGACTCTTTGTCTCATATACAGACTCTTCAGGAAGGTTCTTGTGGGTCAGAAATTCTTTTGGTTGTGAAGCTATTACTTATCTGAGTGCTGTTGGGTAGAACCCTAAGGCACTGTTAGATAGTGGAGCCTGGCCTAACCATCATGACCAACATCGGGAATAGTCAGAGCAGCAAGGCATGGTGACTGAGACATAGGAAGGGCCAGAGAGAGATAGTACAACTTTCAAATTTCTTGAGGTTTTACAGTCTGACCAGTATATGTGGATTGTTTTTGTTGTTGTTTTAAAGGTGGCTCTGCAAGTGGACCTTACCACAGTTCCCTAAGTAGAACTCTGCCTTCTCTCTTACCAGTCTGTATGTAGATCTTGTTAATTCAGGTCAAATGAGGAGAGTCGGCTGCTTCAGCCTGATATTTGAAAACTGGCACAGAATTGGTTATCATGGATGGCCTTAGGTTTCATCTGGTCAAGTCGTTTCTAGACCCACTGAATAAATGCTATGCTTGATTGGAAACGTCTGCTCTGGTGGCACAGAGGGAGGATTGTTGCAGTGTGGCATATACCAGTCACCACTGGGCCTGGAGGAGGGGCTGCTTTCTACTTCTTTCCAGTGCTCTGCCTTCAGGGGGTTTAGGCAAGAAGTGGACGTGAGGCTTTGTCCAGGAGCTTGATTTTGTGTAATGCTCTTGATTTTCAAGAGATTTCACCTTCCTTCTGGAATTTTGAAAAGGAGAAGACAGAGCATATTTGAAGAGTCACTTACTGTAGCTCAGCCCTTTGCTCATCACTTGGGTCACCAGCACAGTCTCCATTTCCTACTTCCAGTGGATCGTAGAGCAGAATTGATGAGCATTTGTTGCCAGTTCTCCTTGTCACGTATTTCTGTGGTTATAGTTCTTGACTGAATGAGACTTTGAAAATGTATTAGTGCTCACTGGGCGCCAGGCAGCAGCAGCCTGAGCTCTTCTCCTGTGTTATCTCATGTAAGCCTTTCGGCACTTTGTGAGGTAGCTTCTGTTACGATCTGTGTCCTGTGTTTATTGTAGGAGGCCAGAGCAAGCTTATTTTCAAACCAGATCTCACTTTAGAAGAAGTACAGGCTAAAAACCCCAAGGTGCACAGAGGCCGGTATCGCCCTGAGGAGTGTAAAGCTCTTCAGCGGGTCGCCATCCTCATTCCCCACCGGAACCGAGAGAAGCACCTGATGTACCTGTTGGAACACCTTCATCCCTTCCTGCAGAGGCAGCAGCTGGAGTATGGCATCTACATCATCCACCAGGTGAGTGGGGTGGTATGTGTCTGCCCCAGGCCCTGCCCATGGGCTTCTCCCCCCTCTAAGGGCTTTGGCCATTTGATCCCATTGACTGTCTTGGGTAAACTGTCATCAAACTATTATCAAAGGAGAGTTCTCTTCACATCTTCTTGAAAGCAATAGAGGAAATTCTTATCCCAAGAATTGGAGACCACATTCTGGGATATTTTACTGCCCTAAAATGAACCTCCGGATGAAGCCTGTTCTTGTGAGCTCTTCCTATTTAGCCAACACCTACCCTAAAATTTCCCTGAGGCTCACTGGTCCTTCATGATGTTTCCTTCTGCATTTGTTATATACTACATGATGAGATGCTCGACTTTCCATTATTAAGTGTAGCTATTCAGTGGAGATCTAGACAGAGAACTTTGATGGAGTGCCACATGTAAATAGCCCTCAGTTCTGTGACTCTTCACATTTTTGTTTTTTTACTTTGCCACTATTTATTTTTGTCAGACACATATGTTTAATTTCAAAATTCTTGACTTATTTGGCTTCAAGAAGCATCATTTAGCAGGAAAAACATGTAACTGTGGGCTACTTTAAAGAGTTTACCTCTGAGATCAGTGGAGTGATTGATTTAAGATGCCTGTTTGATATTAAAATTTCATAAAATAAAATATCAGTTTAAACATCCATGTTTATGCTTTTTAGAATCAATCCTGGGCTATCCAAATGATGCTCCTTCAAACCCTTACAAAATCTAAGAATGCGTGCAAAATCATTAGCAACTTAATTAATATTGGTTTTAGCTGGTGATATTTGTTTGAGGTAGAACTTTTGATAGCTCAGAGGATTAGCTGTGCACTGTATTCTTTGTGATACAACTGTAGCTCCAGAAAATTAGTGTGCTTCTTTAGTACATCCATGTACATATTTAAGGACTTTAACCAAACTTTTACAATTGTTTTCTTTTAAAATTATTTTTATTCTTAACATTGTTGGCCAAAACTAATTTATTTAATTCTGAGTTCTTACTCAGGATGGCAGCCTAGAGATGTAACATTATTTTTATGAATGAAAACACGTTTGATTTGTATAATTGTTTTCAGGAAAATGCTCTGGGAACTTCCGAGAATGGCTTTCACTTATATTGTGATAAACTATTAATCAAATTAGAACATATTTGATCCAGTTGGCTGTGAAAAATTAATACTACAAAAAAGTTAATAACTGAAACATATAATAACTGAAACATATAGTTTAATAGTTAATACCGGTAAACTATATTAAACAGCATTAACTGGTAATATTTCATACCATAGCTTTGGTGATCTTACCAAAGGTCAAACTTTTTACTCAGTGACAAATCTTGACTCTCTTTCTGTAAGGCCACTCACCATGAAGATTAGCCTCTGTCATTAATAATGAAACAGGATTTTCTTATAGTAATTCCAATAAACTTTTAAATAGATTAGAAATATTTGCAGTAACCTTTTCTGTTTATAGGTCCTGACTTCTTGATCCTTTCTGGCAAGGTATTAGCTAAATCTCTTGGAAGCTTAGTGTTGATTCTTCATAGTGGGTAAGATTGGGATCAGCCAAGAGTTAACAGTGAAGCAGTGACTAGGAGCTTTTTATGTTTTTATATCCTTTATCCTTTAATTAGCGTGACTAGTTTGTCTGAGGTTTTGTAGTTTTAAATGGAATAAATAAAAATATTTTTGAGAATTTTGAGTTTTTAAAAGTATTTTATTGTAATAAGAACACTTAACACAAGACTGTTCCTTCAATAAATTTTAGATGTACAATACATTATTGATTATTTGAATTATTTATATTTTGAAACTATATTAAAGAATTTTCCTTGTGACAAAACATATAAGATTCACCATGTCAGCCATTTCTTTTCACTTTTATTTATTCTTGCCCTCTCATCCATTTTAAGGAGCCTGTTCAGTGGTGTTAGGAATATTCACTATTGTGCAGGCAGCCCATCTCCAGAACTCTTCACTGCTAGACTGAAGCTCTGTGCCACCACGGACAACTTTCCAGAGTGTTTTTAAGCTACAGAATATGAGTATGTGTGAAACACAAAGAAAAAAAAAGAAAAAAAAACCCAGTAGTCCTTTATTGTCATCACATTTATTCTGTCAGATCTTAATGTCACAAGTACAGTTTTGTGTGTCAACAAGAAAAATACCAACTCCTGAATTGGAGCGGGAGAGGGGAACAATAGGAAACCTTATTCCAGGAGATTTTTATGTTTTAATATCCCTTATTTATAGGCTGGAACTAAAAAGTTTAATCGAGCCAAACTCTTGAATGTGGGCTATTTAGAAGCTCTCAAGGAAGAAAACTGGGACTGCTTTATCTTTCATGATGTGGACCTGGTGCCTGAGAATGACTATAACCTTTACATGTGTGAGGATCAGCCCAAGCATCTGGTGGTGGGCAGGAACAGCACTGGGTACAGGTAGGTGGCTCTGCCTGTGGATTGCTGAGGTTGAGTCTTGCCCCGTGGTAGTTAAGGTTGTGTGGAACACAGCATCGAAAGACAAGAAATAGGAAAAAATGGTCCATTTTCCCCTAAACTACAAAATGGGAATCAGAATAAGGAAAAAAATCCAATAACAACCTTGACAGAGGATCATAGAGACAAAAGGGAAAGTGCAGAGAGAATATATTATAAGTGCTGCAGGTGGTGGCAGCTCACCCCAGTGGGACTTTATAAGCTGTTCCCCATGAGTTTATGTTCTCTGTCAGTTTATCCGTTAATCCCTGACTTCTCCCTTTAGGAGGCAGCAGGATGGTGACCCTTAGGCCAGCTCTGAGGTCTCTTTGTGAGACAGGACATCTCTTTCCAAGCTGCTGCTACTTTCTAGACTTCTGAGGAAAAGTAGGAAAAGGCATATCCACTGAGGCTGAGCCCAGGACACCCAGAACAAGTTCCTTTCTCTCAAAGCCACTATGGGAAGATGTAGCGATGTGCTACATCTCTTCATCCCTCCCCAGAAGGGGTGGGGCTGCTTTTCAACCTTATTTTATACCAGTTCCTATTCAAGCCCAACCAAGGGGCAACAGTAACCAAGAAAATTTCTCTACAAATGAAACTCTGTGCTTACTTAATTGTATGCACACTGCTTCAGCCCTGATGGGAGTGAGTGTGAAGTGGAAATGGGACCTCCTGATGCCTCGCTTGGTCTTGGCTTCCGTGTTGTTTTTCCAGCCTAGCTCTCTTACTTTGGACCACTTAAGAGCAATCGTTAGTAACAGTGACCATAGCTGACCTTGCCCAATCCCCGTGTTAGCTAATCCCTGGGATAGAAACAACACCTAGAGCGAGAGCACAGTGTTTTTAAGAACCCAAGGAAGGGTCTTAAGCTTTTCCCAGGACTGTGGCCCATGAATCTGGTAGAATCAATAGGAGCTTCCAGCAGGGTTCCAGACATGCCAGAGAGCATGGTCCAGCATTGGAGGAAATGCCAGTAGTTTGCTAGTATTCTAGAATGAATGACTAGGAGGAGAGGCAAGAGATGTAGGCCTTGCTTCGTCTGATAAGAAATTTGGATTTCCTGTGGAAGCAGGGAGGGGAGCTGTTGAAACATAGTTACAGCTGAGGAATGACAGGAGGCTGCTCAGTTCAACTGGTCTTCAATGTTTTGGTTGGAGCAAAGCAGGAGGGAAGACACTAGGGAAGAGGTGCCATGTGCCATGTGTGGGTAGAGGCAGCAGGGCCAGAGTGCAGGGAGAGAATCACAAGATTTTTCTCTTTTGAGGAACTTGATCTTTATTTCTGAATCTTAGTATATAGAAGTTTTGTTTTGCTTTGAAGAAAAGCATTATGTCATAGCTGGGCCTCCCCCTCACCCCAGAATCATGTCACCATCTGTTCACTTATTATGTAGAATGAATGTGATATTGCTGCTTAAATACTGAAGATCTTACCCCAGACAATTGCCAGAGATGATAACCTTAAACTTTCCATCACCCAGTTTTTTCCTGAAGAATCACAGGATTGTTTAAGGATAGTTTTTTGATTAGTCTTTTTATCACTGTGACTAAAACACCTGCAAAGGACAACTTAAAGGAGAAAAAAATGTATTTGGGGCTTATGGTTTCAGTTCATAGACAATTGACTCCATTGCTCTGGTTCCAAGGCGAGGCAGCCCATCATATGGGAAGGGCCCAGTGGAGAAAGCTGCTGTGCTCATGGAGGATCAGGGGAATAGGGTCAGGAAGCAGAGAGCCAGAGAGGAGAGAAGGAGCCACAGGGAATCTGCACCCTTCCAGGACTTGGCTCTAGAGACCCACCTCCTCTAGCCATGTCCCACCTGCCTAGAGTTACCACCCAGACAGTCCATTCAAACTAGGTTATAGCTCTCACAATTTAATCATTTCACCTTTGAATATTCTTGCATTAACAGGAGCTTTTTGGGGACACCTCATATCCAAACCCTAACAGAGGAGCCTTGGGTTGGGATTCTAAATTGTGTTTTTGTATTAAGCTGAACATTAAAGAAGTTGAGTTCTTGAGCAATCCTGCTGGGAATTGAGGTTGACTTATCATGGATTCCATCAGATGCTACATACACAGTCCAGTGTGTGACTCTTGTTGTTTAATTTGCTATTGTACCTGGCCAGACTTTTTTTTTTTTTTTTTAATAACTGGATATCAGAAAACCTTTGTTTCCCTGTAACTGACAGGTTTTCTTAATGTAAATCAGGTAATTGAATGTGTTCCCCATTTTGGTCTGGATGCAGGAAGCCCTGAGCCAAATCTTAGCCCTCTTAGAAAATAAAAATAATTTTATTTGCAGGTCAGAGTTCTGGTGTATTTCCTGTGGGTGTGGTGCTGGGCCTCTCATATGCTAGGCAAATTCTCTACCCTGAGCTATATCCTCAGTCCTGTGTTTCTTATCTTAATCTTCTATTCTGATTTAGTTTCTTCTCTGGTTCTAGTTTGTCATTTAGATTTTTTTCTTATTGTATCGTGTGAAGATGTGAAGTACTTCATTTCTGTGGTTAGGGAGAGGTATGGGAAGCAGTGTAGGAGGTCACTCCTTCCCCTCTACCTAACCTTTGCTATCCTGGGGAATAGCCCACTGATGCCTGGCAAGTCTGGCTGCAGGCAGCCAAGTGTCTGCCCCCTGTTGGGAAGTGTGTGTCACTGAACCACAGAGCTTAAATTACGTACTTTACTGTTCTAGTAGCCTGGTGAGCATATAGAAGTGGCTTCCCTTGCACCCATGCAAAGGGAAGAAGTTAAGGTAACTTGCCCCAAGTGTCTCAGAATCTGATCAAGCTAGAAAGAAACCCTGGACTAGCCTGAGGCAAATTTTACTGCCAAGTATTCCTTTGACACCTGCCTGCTATCTATAAGGACTCTACTGTTATTTTATGACTACATTTTCCTCACCCTTGGGCCTTTATAGCCCTTTAAAAATACATAAGCCTGTTCTAGCCTCAATTAAATATTTATACTTTTCCATATAAGAAGAAAAAACAAAGCAAAGATCAATAAACATGGAGACAGTTACCACTTTAACAGGAAACTGCAAAACCAAGAGGTCCTTACCTTTTCTCCCCTGTCTTCTTCTGCTGTTCCCCACTCCACCTAAGCTTGTCTCAGGTGATCCTCAGGCAACTGTGCTTCTCCCCCCTGTGCTTTTCTCATGGAGTTCTGGCCACCAGGACATCTCCCATTTTTTTCTGTCTGAACCCTTCCAGGCCCCACTTTTCCAATGTAGTAGTAACTCTTTCTCAAAACCCTTGTCATGCTCACCTCTCTTGCTGGATTATAAACTCTTGGAGGGCTAATGTATCACCATGCTTAACCAACCACCTTGCACATGGTGGACGGTGGTTGTGACAGATTCTTTCCAAAGCATCAATGCCGGTTCTCTCTTGGAGATTGCTTCTTGGTGCCTGGCAGGTTATGTATGCCTGGTGGTGGTTCTACTAACAGGGTCTTAATGAAGCTGCCGGCTACAAGTAGTTAAGAACCCCTTCTCAGCCAGACAGAGTCTGATAACCATGGCTATAGTCAATGCTAGTAGGTGTCAATAATAGCCACCTTCTTAGCCCTTTATTTCCTTTTGTTTATTTTAGGTTGCAAAAATGCCATTTCCCAGAATTTTAGGTTGGAGGTATATAGCTAAGTCTGTTTTTACCATGAGCCAAGTAGGGTACCAGTCTGTATGCAGAACATAGAAACAAACAAGTGAGCTGCAAACTAGCTTTCTGATACAAATCTTTAGATGGCAAGTGACTACATATTTATTGACTTTTTTTCCCCCTTTTGGCTTTTCTTCTTATCTGGAAAAACATTGATATTTAATTGATCCTGGAACTTTTGAGCTGAAGTGAATTAAAGTTAGAAATCCTCCATGTTTTATCTTTTTATTCAGGGATGGCCAAGTTACTGAGCTGCCTTCATTTGCCTCTCTGACTTGTTACAGTGTTATACTTAATGGTTATCTTTATTCTCAGTTTTGCTAATTTGTCCACTGATAAGACATGAGTCCTACATGACTGGAAGGTGCTCATTGACTATTGTCTTCTGGTCTCCTTCCTGGGTTTTCTCTCTTTGTCTTTTACTTGTCAGTATTCCCAATGGTTCTTCAGAGTTCACAGCCCACAGTTCCACCCTTCAAGCTCTTCTCAACACTGCTTTGTCTTGGGTGATCCTCTGTCTCAAGCACTACCTGCTGGTAGCTTATTTCTAAAACAAAACTGTAGCTACCTGCTCTCTTGTGAGCTTTTACCCTGTATCCTTGCCTGGCAGAAGCTCCAGGGCTATCTCAAATTCCGATTTTCTAATACATAGTTTTCTCTTTTTCTCTCAAAACCAAATTGTTTTTCTGTGTACTCTATTTTCATAAAAGGCAGTTATCTTCTACCTAGTTGCTCAAGCCAGAAACTTCAGGGATGGTAATGGGGTATGTTGGGTTCTCTAGGAAGCAGACTCTGAGTTGGAGATTTGCAGAATATGTACATACAGTGTGTGTGTATGCACTGTCTTTTGTTCTCCACCTGTCCCCTGAAAGAGTAAAAGTGACATATATTAAATCCTGACACTCATTCATGCTGAGCCTGGATGTAACATCAGAATCCTTCTTAACTGAGTTCCCTTAGCAGCCATTATTGTTTGCTGGGTTATTGCATGAGATGAAATCTGTTGTCTAGATCTGATGTTATGGTGCACATTTAGGTATCTCTACAGAGCTCTGTACACAAAGGTATGAATAACTGGTGGGTGGCACTTTGCTTGGTGAGCAGAGGTGAGCACATGTCTAGACAGAGGAATGAAGGCGTGATAGGAGGCCAGGAGGCTGGGCGGTGGACATCAAGCAGGAGTGGGTGGGACCTGAGTGTTCCTAGAAGGCCTACCCTGAAATCAAAGACCTCTGAAGCATCTGTGGGAAATCAAAGGGCTTTGTACTAATGTTCTTACCTTTTCTCTTCTCTTTTACTCCAGGTTACGTTACAGTGGATATTTTGGGGGTGTTACTGCCCTAAGCAGACAGCAGTTTTTCAAGGTGAATGGATTCTCTAACAACTACTGGGGATGGGGAGGCGAAGACGATGACCTCAGACTCAGGTGAACAACAGAGAAAGGTCCCCTTCAAGGGGCTCTGCTATCAGTGGTGGCTCTGGAAGTCTGCATTTATGTTCAGTTCCTACAGATGCCGGTCCAGAAGGGCAAGAGGCTGCAGATTTGCACTTAAGGGTTGACAGAGCACGGAGGAAGGGCAGGATAACCCAAGCTCTTTGTCAGGGGTGTCTTGAAAGTGAAGGAAGATGGTTTATTCCTGTTTGGGCTGTAGAAATATTGGTGGAGGGCTTTGAGTCCTCATCAATGGTTGCAACAGTGAATGAGGGGTACCACATTTTCAGCCTGCAGTGTAGAGAAGGGCCTGTTATAAGCCTTGTGCTTTTTCTCAGACCTCAGGGGAGCCTGGCACAGTTCTCAGTGTGCAGAGCAGAGAGTATCAGTAGCCTCTGAGGAACCCTGATCTCTGTAGTAGGCAGGAATGTCTTTCCTCTCCTGCACGCTGCAGGGACTGCTGATGGACTGGCTTGCAGGATTGATTCCAGGCTGTTGGAATTACCCTCAGATTCCCTCAGACCACTTTCTGCTCTAGGGGGCTCATAGGGACTATGCTCAGGGTGTCTAGTCTCCTCTCTCACCTTGGATTTTGTGGCCTGATGGTTAGAAGTTTCCCTGCCTCCTAGAAATCAGTAATTATTAAAGAGCCTGCAGCTAGTATGTTAGACTTAGAATCATGGGATCTTGCTGGCTGACAGGAGACCCCTTCCCTCCTGCTGTTGCCTCTTGGAAAGGAAATTTCTAAGCTGAGGTTCTGAATTAATAGGTGTGTGACTATCAGAAATTTTCCATTGCTTTGATATGAAAAAGCTGGAGTCTGCATGCTGGCCTTGTTCCCATGTCTAGGCTGAAGGCCTCTGGTATGTTTTTGGCAGGGGGGGGGTAGACTCCCTGACTGATGGCTCTGTGGCCTTACCCATGGGCAAGTGTGTGATCATGGCCTATGACCTGGACGGGGGTGCCTGCTAGATTTCAGGGCAAGAGAAGCAAGGGCTAGAGGTAACCAGTACCCATTTTTCCCCCAAATCCATTTCACTGCCCAGCTGGTTATATACCCTCACTGCCTCTTTTCCTGCTGTTCCTCAGCTTCAAGGTAGAGGGGAGCCCAAAGTTTTGGTTTCATTCAATAAGAAAAAAATATCATGGCTTTCAGTATGATTCTCAACTAATGCTGTGCATAAACCAAAATGACTCGAACATAAAACTTGGTTGAGTTTTTGTTTGTTCTGAGACAGGGTCTCTCTGTTTTGCTCAGGCTGATTTCAAACTCCTGAGCTCATGACCCTGCAGCCCCAGGGTCTATAGACATATGCCACTGTGCCTGGTGCTTCGGGTTGAGAATTATTTACTAATTATTTAGCACCACCTTTTCTTGCTCTTACATGAACATTATAGTTTGCAGCTCATGTTCCATATGAATTACATTATGTGAGTCTTTCAAATCAACTCCATAGAGAGGCTATCATTTTACAGATGATGAAACTGAGACCTGGAACAGTGAACTGACTGGGGTTATACATAAAAGGGTCTAGATTTGAACCTAGGTTTGTGGCTTTAACAGTCATTCCTTTCTTGGTTAAAACAAGGTAACACTAATTAGGGATCCTAATAGACTTGATTCTATTCTTCAGGTTCCTATTTATTTAATAAATAGTTTTTGTTTGTTTGTTGTTTTTTAATGATTAAGTGTAAATTGACATATTTCCTGTGTGCCCAGTAGTAAATGTTCCGTGTCATTATTTCATGGGCTTATTGCATGAGGGTCCACTATTATAAGAAACTCTGATATATTTTAAGTGTTGTGCCTTTTTTTTTTTTCTGATGCCCAATCAAGCTGTTCATGTGAATTTTCACAGGTGACTTTTTTTTTTTAAGTGCTCTATGGTTGATAAATGGGATAGATTTTTTTTTTAAATTTCCTCTGTTATTTTTCTAGGGTTGAGCTCCATAAAATGAAAATACTACGGCCAAAGCCTGAAGTGGGTAAATACACGATGATCTTCCACACTAGAGACCAGGGCAACGAGGTGAATGTGGAACGGTAAGCCCTAGATTCACGTGCCTGGCGACCTGCTGGCCCAGTCCCTGTCAGTAGGACTGTGCTGAATTGGATCAGATAAGCCAGTTAATTTTGTTAAAGGCCTTTTATTAATCAAAATTTCAGACAAAAACAGAAGTGAGGAGAAGAGTTCATGGTATCCTCAAACTTTGACAGTTGTCAATTCATGGCCTCAGCTCGTCCCCCTCTGTTTCCTCCTCCTTTGGGGTTCTTTAGAAACAAATTTACAGGTGTTATAGCCTCTTAGGTGTAAGTACTTCATTGTACATTCTCAAAATAAAAAGAGTTGTTTTTTGAAGAACTATAAGACCATTATCATACCTAAAATAAAATGAACAGTACTTCCTTAGTATCATCAAATGCCAATCTGTTCTCAGATTTCTCTGATAAATACTTAAAAAACAATTGATTTGTTCAGTTCAATATCTAAACAAGGTCCACATTGCATTTTGATGTGTTTTTTTTCTTTTATCCAGAGGTTCTCTCTCCCCCTCTTCTCCTCCCTCTCCTCCTCCTCCTCCTTCTCTTAATACCTTACAATTTATAATTTATTTGTTTATCATACAAGGTCATTTTTTTCTGGTAGAATTTTCTACATTGTGGGTTTTGCCAGTTGCATTCTGGTGATATAATTTAATATGTTCCTGTGACCTCTGTATATTTTCTTATAAGTGGGGAATTTTTCTAGGTTTTAGGAAACTTGAATTTATTCTGAATATTAGTTTGGGGGAAGAACACTTTATCCATGGTGTTACCTCCTTTTTTATGATGGGAGGATTGATCTGTGGGTACAGGTATCGTCAACCTGGTCCCCTAATTGTGAGATTGCTCATCTGTTTGTCATCTAGTGAGCTTCAGCACCACTGATGCTTGTTTCCTAAATGTGTGACTTAATCAGGGGTTGTAACGCTTTAATTCTGTTATTCCTTCAATTATTAAATTTTTTTCAGAGAAGGACTTGCCTTCTTCATCTGTTTGAGTATGCTGGAGTACAGTTTTATAGGGAAGGCAGAGTAAAGGGAAAGAACCAAGCATTGATTTATCATTTTTCAGAATAATGAGATGGTTCTCTGGCATCTTTCAGGATGTGATTATTGTTCTTTTTGATACTCAAGTTGTCTCATCTTTGTCCAGTGTGATCTTCTCCAAGCTGGCTCCTGAATCCTTTTGACAGAATCACGGTAGTCTTTGAGAGTTTTTTGCCCTGGATTCTGGGGAGGTGAAAGATTCTAACCTCATTTTTGTTCTTTCCTGCCCTAGGAATTAGCCCTTTCACCAAAGAATCCTGGCAAATAAGACAATTCCTTTTGTGGCTCTGATTGAGGAATTTTTATTTCTTTGTTGAGATTTTTTTCTCCTAGATTCTGGAATAGTATTAAAGGGCTTCTTGCCCATTTTTAAAATCTGTCATTCTAACAAATGTCACCTAGTGAGCTATTTTGACTTTCCTGTCTTTACAGTCTTTATCCATTGATGTGAATTTTTTCATTATAAAAATTAATTATTGAATAGTTACAAAATTAATTGAATAGTTACAAAATAATACCTATAAATTATTTGAAAAGTGTGCACATTCTTGATACGTACCCTTGATGTATGCCCATGACCTGTGTGGCCTCCTTAAAATCATGTCGTCCCTCTTCATACCCACCCCTGCCCCAGGTGACACTTCTTTGAATATTTGTGTTCGTGATAATTATTTTGGCTTTTTTCTTGTTTTTTTTTTTTTGTTGTTGTTGTTGTTTTGTTTTTGTTTTCTCTCATGTTCAGGAACAAATGGTTGTCCACTTTTGCATCTTCTTCAACTTTATGTAAATGAAATCACACTGTGTTTCTTCCCCCTTAGTTTCAATCCCTGTTTCTATTGTTGCTTTTCACTGCTAAACTCCTAGAGACCTATTATTCCATTCACTGCCCACTCTTCCCACATTCCTTAGCTCTTTTGAGCTTCTGTGCACCTTACCCAGGGTAGTCACTCTGCCTGGAGTGTCTTTTCCTTACCTTCTTAGTGAATCTCACCTCTTTTAAGCCTGACTGAAATTTGCAGTCTCTACACCCCTTCCCAGATTTCCATTTGAGGTTAGGGGCTCATTCATTCATCCTCCTGTACTCATATCCTTCCTTTTTTTTGAGACATAGGAAAGTTCTGTACCTTCTCCACCTACAGACACAAAACTTTCCCAACAATGTTGGAGGGTTCAGTGATCCTCTGAAGCTCATCCAAAGACCTTTTAGGAGTGGGTGACCTACATCCTGTTGTATTAGTGGTCTTTGTAAATCCTTTTGTCCTGTAGACTGGGGCTCACTGAGGGCAGCAACTCTTTGATTCTCAGTGTCCTATGTGGGGTCTGACAAGTGAATACATAGCTATTATTGCTGTCTCCTATTTTGAACGGGAAAGACAAAGTTGTTTTGCAGTAGGAAACCCAACAAGTGCAGTAATTTGTAAGAATACTTTTGCCATATTTTGGGGTAAGGCAAAAAGCAATGGAGACATATGTTAAATTCTTTTTTTTAATCATTCACATTTGTTCTTATCTTTAGGATGAAGCTCCTACACCAGGTGTCACGAGTTTGGAGAACAGATGGGTTGACGAGTTGTTCTTATAAGTTGCTCTCTGTGGAATACAATCCTTTATATATCAACATCACAGTGGATTTCTGGGCTGGTGCATGACCCTGCATCTTTTGGTGACATTTGAAAGAACTGATTATTTGATTGTAATGATTTTGGCCTAGAGACTTTTCTTAGTAGCACATAATAAGAATATGTTGCAGCTAAATATTGGGCTGAATTTTTTCCTTTTTGTATTTTCTTCACAGAGCTCCTAATGATGTGGAGTGTAAAACCACTGTAGCAAGACAGTTTTCTTAGTTGTTTGATCATGAAGGTTAAAAATTATAATACAGATACTTGAAGGATTAAGTACAAAAATCTCTGAGTATAGTGGAGGCTACCTGAGAACTTTGGTTGAAGATTTATTTAAGCTTAAAGTGTTGTATTATGAGATACAAGGCCATAGGAAATAAGATTTCTGATGTCTCGGAGATCTAGAATTGTTCTCATCCAATATAGAAAGGTACGGAGATGTGTTTCTGTTATTCATTTATTCTGCTTGGTCACCTGTGAAGTGGTAGATCCTAGGGGAGAAGAAGGCCACAGAGAAAAGGTGAAGAATCAAGAGGTGGTGAACTTGAAATTGAAGAAGTGGCAGGAGGACATAGTGTCAGATGAACTGTCAGCAACATCTGTGCTGGCTGACACCAATGCTCCACAGTGGATCCCACCCCCCAGATGCACCTTCCAGGAAGAGCCCAGGAGAACACATTATCTACTAGTTTTTAAAGCATTTTTGTAAAATGATTTTGTACATGTAGGGTATGAATTACCAGTTTATAAATTACATGTTAACTAATAATACATCTCTGAAGTAATTCTCTAGTAAAATACGAAAAAGCTCTGGGTGCTCAGTCTTGTTTTTTACTGTCATTTGAGGCCATACACATATCCATTTTAGTACCTGTAATTCTTAAAACAGAACAACTGGATTAAAACCCTCCACTGTCTTTCCTGTTCCTGTTCCTCTCCCCTGTTCTTGTGTACGACCTCCTGTGTAGCCTGCTCCATGGGGGTTTGTCTGTCTTATTCCTTGGGTCTCTCCAGGTTTTTGTTCTCATCCTCTTATGCGTCTTCCTTTCCCATAATCAGTATTGGGAACACAGGTCTGGCTTTGGGGGTGTGCCTGATTGGTTACATAGAGCAAGGGGTCCAGGGTGTGAGAAACTTTTAATTTGGAATTATGGTGGGGCCATGGCACTGACTTGGGCAACAGCAGTCTTTTGGGAGAGAAGCCACCCGTACTACTGAGCTTCCTGGGAAGGGAGTCAGGACTACGGGGGAGAAAATTAAAGGAAGGTAATAGAAACCGTTCTATTAGTGGGTGGGAACAGCTGTGAGAATATTTTGTTTGCTTAGGTGAATGAATGGACATATAAATAATGTAGGTATGTTCTGAAGCAAGTATTATGCAACTGTACTCCAGGGGCTTTCAATCCATCTTGATTACATAGCACCTTCACCGTTAAACTTTAACCTGAGTGGGTGCCAGCCAATATGTGTTCATAATATTTAAATCTTCCCAGCAGGGAAAGGGAATAGGAGGGTTTGGAGTGCCCAAGAAACACAGGGGGAGTCAACACCCAAGCGGGGAGGGGAATTTGAAAGGGCAATACATTTTATAGACATGACATTTATAGATAGCCTGGTTTACCTTTAACTCAGCCTAGGGAGTAAAAACTTTTTTTTTTTTTTTTTTTGTTAAATTTAGTAAAGTGCTCATGGTTTCCATATTTTCTACCCATCTTTATACGAGACTGTCATTCTTGGGAGATTTGCTAATGGGATACTCTGTAGTGAGTAAGCTTCTTCCTTTCCTTCCATCTGTTTTCTGCAGAAATGGCCTCTGTTCCAATTCTCACAATTATGAAAGCATTCACAGATTGCAATTTGGAGGCTGTGGGTCCCTGGACATGGTTGGGGAGGGTAATGGAGGACAGGGATGTCTGAGTGGAATTTTTTTTTTAAGTTTTCTTCTTTTTTTTTTTTAGCTGTAGATGGACATAATACCTTTATTTTATTTATTTATTTTTATGTGGTGCTTGGGATCAAACCCAGTGTGTCATACATGCTAGGCAAGCACTCTACCACTGAGCTACAAGCCCAGCCCTGTAAAGGGAACTTGAAGATTCATATTTGAGAACTCTTTTTACCAAATGGAAACAGAATGTAGTTAATAACATGTAGAAGTTCCCTGCTTTTTGTTTATTAATAAGGCATTTGCATTTAAAAAAATGTTGGAAGCCACCCAGTTATGCTTTGATCCAGTTAATTCAAGTCATTTCATTGACTTCTTAAAAAATTTATTGTAATGAGAAGTAATTTTTTAAGACTTCCATGACACCTCTGTGCCATTTGACTATTTCTGGCCATTCAAGGCCCAGTGGTTGGCTGGAGGCTTGTAGCCACCTGCTTGCCACTGGGTGTCATCCTCCTTGTTTTTACTTCACAGTTGGGCAGCGGAGTTTGACTTCTAAGAAAAGGAACATCTTCCCACCTCTAGTCTTGCATGTTTTCATTTTCAATTGCCATCCGGAGGTCAAACACTTTGAATACTGTAGAGATAGTTATGCCTGCTATGATTGCTAAGGATTATTTGGGCATCACAGCTACCTAACACAAGGAGTGTGTTACTTTACAATTTTTATTTCTCACTTACATTAGCCTTTATTTCTTTTATGGCAGTTTATAGATTGTAATGCTTTTACACACACTTTGTTAATTAATGCTGCTGACTCTTAAGAGGGGCAGATGAGAAAATGGAGGTCCACAACAGGTGGATCATTGCCAGAAATACCATGGCTTAAAAATGGCAGAGTCAAGGCCAGACTCAGGTCTTCTGGCTTCAAGACCATTACACCACATTGGCTCCATCTGGGTTGCTTCTTCACTTGAGATAGTTTTCCTGAATCTATATCCCTGTCCTACCCCCTACAGAGGTTTGGTACTTCTGGACTTTTAAACATACATGTAAGTTCTCATCTTTTAAGTTATTTCTAGACTTTCCCTAGTAATTCTGTCCTTAGCCTCCTCACTTCCATCCAAGCCCCAATTGGATAATTTTCCTGGGAGTCCCCAAATGCTCTGAATGGACACTTGAAGGAGCTTAAAAACATTTTTCTTCCAGACTCAAAACTTCCACTTCATTCAAATGTATTGAGTAGTATTATGTATTCTTATATATAATATAGTCCCTGTCAAGAGCCCTTAACATGCACAAGATGGAGCATTTGTGGATACATTCTTAAGTTCTTTTTTGCCAAGACATTTTAAACTGTTGCCTCTTTTATTCCCTTTTGATATATAGATAGCCATCTTACACCTGCTGAGAGGTTCTGCTAGGTCTCTAAGATATACACAAGGGAGCAGCTTACAAGTCCCACTCTCAGGGAGCACACCTGTACAGGTAAAGGCTTCATTGTTCCATTGGCAGTTGTTGAGAATTCAAATAAATATCAAACCTTGAATGTATATAGTGTGTGTGTGTGTGTGTGTGTGTGTGGTATGTGTGTAAGTGTGCAATTTGGGGGCTTGGAATAAAGGTAGATAAAGGGTGGAGTATAATAATTGCTTAGTACAGATCAGTTTATGTTTTTAAATGTTAACTTTCTAATAGCCACACAGGGGTGTGTGTGTGTGTGTGTGTGTGTGTGTGTGTGTGTGTGTGTAATGTATGCACATATACATACCCCTATGTTTATGTGCTGCAAAGATAAAACAGATTTAAGTTAATTCCTCAAAATTGGTAAATTTTAAGGAGGTAAAGTTTGAGTTCAGGTTTCTCTTGACACTAATATTGCACCCCCTTCCCCAAGAATATCATCATGTAAAGAGATTATAGAATTTCCTTGTGAGGGGAGTGAGAGATAGATCTCATTCTGTTGCTAAGATTCTAGAAACAATACAGAGAACTTGAGAAGTATTCATTAAAATGCCTTATCTTGATGACCTTACTACATTCTTCCACTATGGAGTAGGAGCTTTACTGGAACATTATTACTCATAGCTATTGTTTGATGGCAAGTAAATTTGGACCAATGTATTTGGTCATTAAGCTTATCTCAATAAATTGAAGCAACAGCACTAATTGATGTGTTCCCATGGATTATGAGCCAAGCAGAATTCTTCAGGCCAGATTTATGTTATACCTTCCTGTTAGGCATATCTTCTGGGCTGTTAGCCTTTCTGATGCATACTTATGTATCTTACTGAATCCTCCCAGTGCACTGTGAGGGTAGGCCTGATTTCCTGAAGCAGGCCCCATGAAGTTAAGAAACGACTTGTCAAAGTCGTGCACCGCTGGGATTTAGAGCCAAGTCTTTGGCTCCAAAGCTCATGTTTTTAACCACTTCATAGTAGCAGATAGATAAATAAACCAACAAATACAGGAAATAAGGGCGGATGGAGTTATTTAGAGAAAGTCAGTACCCTTCAGCCAAAACTCCCTAGGAACCCAACTGTAGATAAATAGGATTAGATCTGGCCAAAGGACACACAATTTTGGATAGAAAGGAAGAATAAGTTCAAGAGTTCTATTGTGAAAACAAAATGGGACTTGACCCATTGCAGAAAGGACAACGCCCCATGGGAGAGCCATAGAGTGAGTCAATAAAAGGGGTGGAGAGAACCTATGGGGGCTTTCGGCTCCCGCTGGGTCACTGCGGGAGGGTCTTAGGAAGAAGGGTTTGCTTCATACCACATGCTGTCAGGACCTGCAATCTGGGGGAAGGGAATGGTGGGGGTGGAGTGGGGAGACAGCCCACAGGATGGTCTGTCTGGTGTTGCAATCAAGTAAACTCACTCCAGAGTTAGTCTATGAGTGTGTTTCTAACTAAGTTTTGCTTGTACAGAAAGAGGGACCCTGGCAGGAGAACATTGCTGAGCTTGGTAAGATTCAGCAGTCACTCATTTTAGTCAAGAAAGGAGGTAGTTGGTATTTGATATTAGACATACAATGAACTTGGGCAAATTTTGTGCTTGGGCAAAGCTTGACCTTCGCTTTGCCTCATCTTATGGTTGTCTCACATGACCTGGCTGAGGTTGGTTTTCTGTGAGATTGTTTATGTCTAGTAGGAGATTAGCAGAGTCTAGGCCTGCTTCAGAGGGATAGGGCTGCTCTCATTTCCTCCATGTTTTCCCTTCTCCTTCTTTTATGGTTGAATCAGTCAGGCATTCTACCACTGAGCTACATCCCCAGCCTATTAATTTTTTATTTTGAGGCAGGGTCTCGCTAAATAGCCCAGGCTGGCCTTGAACTTGTGATTCTCCTACCTCAGTCTTCTGAGTAGCTGGGATTAAAGGCATACCTGGTTCTTGTTTTCTCTCAAGAGGAGCTTAGGGTGGAGACTACTAGGCAGTAGGGCATGACTATGCTATTTCCCTTTAACCCCAGAACTTGACTATTTATCTCCTAAATGTGTGTGTGTGTGTGTGTGTAAGAGGGCTTGGGGTTGTGGGCTGAGGGAAGAAGGATCAGCAGCAATATGTGTGTTTAAGCAATGCTATCTTTCTCCAAGTTGTTTTTGGATCGCCTCCTTGGATGTGACCACTTGAGCCTTATGATAAAAATCTCACATATGAAAGCAAACTCCACAGCCTACCACTAGCCTTGGCTGGGTTTCTTTGATCCTGCCTAGTAGAAGTTGAAAAGGATTCAAGTGAGTTAAAACAGGGACGAGAAACTAGAGAAAAAATTAGATATAAAAGGAGAAAAGTGTTCAGTCTTAGTAGAAATGAGACACCAGGTGAGTTTCCAATTCCTCGGCCACAGCACAGCTTGTCAACCAGATTGATTGGGGTGGGGGGTTGGCGTGTGAGGTTGAGAGGAGATTAGATTTTCAAGTTTACATAATATTATTTCTTTCCTTTATGGGTAGCCAAAAACCATCTGATTGGCTGCTTCAAATAGAAACAGATTCTGTGTATTTTGGCTGATACAGGAAAAAAAAAAAAAGTTATGGGCTGACTCAGGGCAGTGGGCTTTCTAGATGTAAACAGTCTGCCAGGAGCAGGACCTGCAATCTGGGGGAAGGGAATGGTGGGGGTGGGGAGACAGGCCACAGAATGGTCTGTCTGGTGTTGCAATCAAGTAAACTCACTCCAGAGTTAGCCTGACACATTTTTGGTGTTAAATAGTAATTGTTCTTTGCCCACCTGATAAGTAGGCTGATTGTCAGATAAGAGGAGGCTTCACAAAGTGATTTTGTCTGGGCTTGTCTCAAGCCTGCAAACTGCCAGCTCCCTACAGACAAGCACTCTGCTTTCCCTTGCCTCCCTGGTCTGGGAGACCTGGGCCGATGACCTCCTGAGCTGTGGCTTGGAGTCCAGGGCTTGTAGTGAGCCCCATTTTCAGTTCCAGGACTCAGAAGAAAGAGAGGGAAGGGTGGGTTTGCAGGTAAGGGGTGAAGCGGTGGCAGCAAGAACCAGGAGAATAGAATTGCCCTAAAGTTAAGCTGAAAATTCCTATGAGCTCAGCTCAGAAGTGACGATGGCTGGCCTCTGCAGTGGGGTCCTCGGGTCTACATTCTGTCTCAGCTGAAAAGTGTGTCCTTCTCAAGCTCCGGGGACCTGGTCATGGTGGGTCCGGGTTTCAGAGATTCTTTTGGTTTTAGGAGGAACCAAGCCTGTGGAATTTGTACCTTCTCTGAAGGATGATGCTGAGGCTCTAGGCAGGAAGCTAACTGGAGAGGGGACCTGGGAGCCAAGGCTAACCCCTTTCTCTTCCTGGTTATCTCTTGGTAGGGAAGTCAAGTGATAAGATTTAAGGAGCAGCAAGTGCCTTATCTTGCCCCACAGTTGATCCTTCCTGCTCCTATTGCTGAATCTGTCTTCCATTATCAAGGAAAAATCTGAAGTGACTAAGAGACCTGGGACTAGTTGTCACTCATCCCTTAGTAGGAATGAGTTTTCTGAAAGTCTTTCCCCTGGCCTGTCTGAGATCCAGTCAACAAAGGAAAGGGAATTTTGTAGGCAGAGACCTTTTTGGAGCATAAAGCCTTGGAGTGGATTTGAAGCAGGAATGAGCCAGTGGCCTAAGGCACAGGAAAACCTATTTATTTTATAGATGTACAAACTTTTTGCAGAAGCAAAAAGCACAAGATGCAGGAGGGAGTATGGAAAGGAAGATAGGAGCTTTGCCCAAGTAAGCCCCTTCCTTCTCCTTCCCTTTCCTAAGAGACCACAGAGAGAAACAGTCAGCCAAGTACAGGTGGATTTATTCCCATACCCCAAGATGTCTTTGTCCTGGAGAGACAAGATGGGTTGGGATGGGGAGAGCTGGCTTTGGTCTCCTAGCTGGGGAATCAGGGTCAGAAATCAGACTCTTGCCCTGGTTTGGCCCCCAGGTGCCCCCAACAGGTGTGCCCTCTGCTCCTCCCTCCTTTGCCCCAGCACAAAGCCTAACAAGAACCTGGTAAAGGTGCAGGAGGGGGTGCTCCGCGTATCTGAATTAGCTGTCCCCAAATGACAAGTACATTTTCTTCATAAGGGACACAGTTGTTTTGGCGTCAGACAATTGCACTCTCTCCAAGGGAAGAGGAAAAGGATCTGAAGGGCATCAGCGCCACCAGCACTTCTTGGGTAAGGAGAGCAGGAGTGAAAAGTCACAATAAACACAAAATTCCAACTGTTTCACTGTCCATCAGGGCCAGCCCATAGCAGGAAACCGCACCCTGTGTGCGCAGTTTCCATCTCCTCCACTTTAATTCCCAAGAAGTAGGCTCCTCTGTTGAGAAATTGATTTTGTTAGACTCATACAGGACCCGTTAGGGCGCCAGTATAAACAAAAGAAGTAAACAACTTTTAAAACCCTCTTTATTTATAAGATCAGGCAAACTGATGTTGAGTTATAGGAACTTCCTTTAGGACTGCAAATGAAACAATTCAGAAGAGAAATATTTTGACAGCAAACAAAAATCCCTATAAATCACCTTGTTCTACTAGCCAGCCTTCATCTCACCTATTGGAAAGGTGTTTCAAGTTGAGACTGTTCAGGTTAAAGACTGAGTCAACATATATCAGGCCCCTTCGATGTCCTCAAAGTCCACATACTTTTAATTAATGGAGAATTGATGTTACTAAGCGTATCACTCTAAAGGGCATGACAGGGAATTTCAACCATCATTAACTAAAGATCATGGATTGCTCTGGAAAATAAAAGGATCCCAAAGTTTTATCAAGAGACTCACAGGTCCGTGGATCAAAAGGCAAAAGACACAGTTCAGCAATCTTTTTCTTCCTTCTCTCATCCAGACAATACTGAGATAAATGGAAGCCTGAAAGCTTTTTTTTTTTTTTAAGAAAACAAGGGGAAATAGAGGCAGATTTGTTAATCAAATACAGAGCTGGCTTACTGTGACAATATAGTTTCTTTGAATATTTTTATGCTCCAAATTAAAAATAAACAGGGATGAGAGAGGCTAGTCTCCACCTTCCAAATCCTCTCTGTCTTACAGTGCATAAAAATGTTGCATAATCTTAGACAAAGACTTAAAATACTAGCCCTGAGAACTGCAAGATCCTGAGAGTCCAAAGGCTCTTCATATCAGCTGACTTGGCAATGTGAGATTAGACGTGCACAGGTTATACTGAAGCTCGAATGTGGACTATTGGGAGAAAACGGGTTCCAGCACCAGGTCCAGAGTCACCCGAGGAAGGAGGTATGGTGGTGACACTTTATGCTCAATATTCAATTCGGCTCCAGTAGAACATGGTACCCAGGAGAACCCAAAACTAGAATAGAAAGGGGGAAAACAAAACAATTTATAGAAATATTTACTTGAGAAAAAAATAAAGTTAGATTCTTTCAGGCTTAGGTGACACTGATTTTAAGAGCAACTTTAAGCAACGCCACAACCTAGATATGACAGAGTCCATTCTGATCTAAAGCATCAGTTATTACCTGCCTCTCAGAGGCAGCCTTCCTGTTTCCTGCTTTCCAACCCCAAGTGCCATCCTGGACTCTGACTTCTGAGGTTGCTCTTCTTATTTCTATGCTAAGTTAGCCTCCTAGGGAAATTCTTTCTTCTTGATATTGGGGCTAATTAGTCCCCAATGAGGTCTCATTTCTAGTAGCTACCATTTTGGAGTAAGAGTTTTTTCCTTCTAAGTATTGAACTCTTCTTCCAAGCGACTTCTCCTTTTTCCTCTGATGCCTATGATCTGGAATAGCTGCCTCTGATGAATGCTACAGAACCCCAAACCAAAGGAAACTGACTTAGTCAAGGTGTTGGAATATCTGAGTTCTGTTTTAGGTCTGGCAACTCCTCCCAGGGGACTTTAGCCAGGTCACTTAACTTTCCAGAGCCTCAATTTCTACATCTATAAAAAAAATATAGCACCTTCTCTACCTACACCAGAGCTAGAGAAGTGAATGAAACAACAACAACAATGACAACAACAATAGTAAGAGTAATACTAATAATTGAAGCTAATGTTTACTAGGGGAACTTATATTCATCAGGCATTACTATTTCCAAAAACTTCTGAAGAAACTGAGGCACAGAGATGACAAGGAATTTAATCAAAGTCATAGAATTATGGATGCTGGGTTGTGAGCCAGGCAGTTGGCTTCGGAGTTTATCTGATTAAGCACTGTGGGAAAATCCTTTGTGGTCAGCAGTGAACTGGACATGCCCAAGAGCTCTCCTCAATTACTGTTCCTTGAAAGATGGAAGACTGATTACTTACCAAGCTACTGTTGTGGGGGTTTAGTACCGAAAGTATTTGATGTGGCACCTTGTGCAGAGCGCACCCTCAATACCTTTAGGTCACTTCCTTCCATCTTCTGAATTGCAAAAATTTTACTATATCTAAAATCCACTTGATATCAAGAGGTGCAACTGGTCTGGAGATCTAAGGTACTCAAAAACCTTTAAACGTCATCCTACAGTTCCCACCAACTGACTTGAATAGAAATTTTACTATTGATACCTTTCATTCATTCAACAAATTATTGAACCCTTACTATGGGCTATGCTAGGTCCTTGACAGCAAAGAGCATCTGATCCCTAACCCTTGGGCAGTCAAATGCAACACAGCAGGGTAGTTCCACAACAGGTTATGCACAGGGTGTTGTAGGAACTCTGAAGGGGGCAGACCAAGGGATCACAAGACACCCTTGAAGGAGCTGACTTCCCTCTCCTTCCTGCCTCACTTAATTTACTTCCCCTGAACCCAGCATCTCTCAAATTATGGTACCTAAACACCCTTTCCGGGTTTCAAGATGCTTAAACAATTATTTCAAGACTGTTTAAACAATTATTAGGGTTCGTTGGCCTTTTCACTGTTTGACATTGGTACTAGTGCAAAAGCAGTGTAAGGTAAAAAATGGCTGTGGCCTTAGCAAGAATTGAGGTAGAGGAGCTAAAATATGTTAGTAGTCATTATATATTCACTTCTGTCATGTACTTGCAGTAAAAAACAAATAACCAGTTTTACTGGAAATTATCCTCAACGGAGTAGTAAGAACTGGAATTTTCTTTCATTTTGACCTTTGAGTACACATCTTTTAAATATTCTGTGTGACAAAAAGAGAAATATGCCTACAACAGTCCTGTGGCATAGTGAAATATGGTTGTCTGGAAGAAAAACACTTGAGTAACTTGTTTGTGAGCTGACCTAGCCACATTTTTTATGAAGCACTATTTTTACTGGAAAAAAAAATGACTAACAGATAGGCTATGGTTTTTCAGAGTTGGATGTTTGGTCAGATATTATCTCAAAGATTTACAAAGTGAGTCTGTCCCTTCAAGGAAAACAACTGATAATTTTTTTTTCAGCAATAAATTTGAGCTTTCAAACAAAAATCAGATCTTTGGAAAACTGATCTGTTACCCTGAGCTTGACAGTGTTCCATTGCCTGAGATCTTTTTCCAATGTGGTGATATCAATGAAGTGATCTTTTGGTGTTGCATAAAAACATCAATCAACATTTGGCAGACATGCCTAACACAATGAACCAATATTTCCCCAAATAGCCAATTCCTGATGTTATAGAATTATGCATAGTAAAAGATTTATGCAAAGGGTAGTACAGACCAATGTAATATATTCAATGAAATAACATGAAAAGTTTGTTAACACAGTTTCAGATTCTCTATGGCAATAGATATTTAAGAAAGTTGTGGAATTTGGTGAAGTATCAAAAGAATATTCACAATTATCTTCACATAAGGTTATTAAAGCATCCCTGCTGTTTTGACTATACATCTTCGTGAAGGATGTATTTTCTTCACATCCTTCAACCCTGTCAACATATTACAACAGATTGAATGAAAGACCAAAAGAGAGACTCCAGCTGTCTTCTACTAAACCAGACATTAAAGAGATTTGAAGAATATAAAATGATGCAATTTTTCCCCATTTTTTTGTGTTGTAAAATAGTTACTTTTTCCCACCAAAATGCTCTTTATGTTAGCTACATTATGATTATTGTAACTGCATCTTCATCATCGTTGTTGTTATTATTTGACATGCTGGGATAAAACCCGGGGCCAGACAAGCACTCTGCCACTGAGTCTCATTTTTTGTTTTGTAAAATAGTCATTTTTTCCCCACCAAAATATGTCCTTTATGTTAATTGTGTCATTACTATTATAACTGTGTTGTTGTTATTGGACAATGCTGGGATTGAACCCAGGGCCGTGGGCATGCCAGGCAAGCACTCTACCACTGAACTACATCCCCAGCCTCCTACTAATTATTTTAAAGTGAATTAACAAATATTCAATTTTTTTCTATCTTAATTTCTGATGGGGGTAAATATGAGTAGATATAGGCTATATAGGTAATAGCTTTTTGAAGTCCTTAATACATTTTGGGAATGTCGAGGGGCTGTGAGACAAAAGTTTGGGACTGCTCCCTGAATGCAGTGTTTCTCAACTTCAAGAGCAAATTGGAATCATTTGAGGTGGGGAAAACAGCCTGGCCCAGGGCAACTGAGTCAGAATCTCAGAGGCTGAGATCCAAGCTCTTTTTGTTATTGTTGTTGTTGTTGTTTGTTTGTTTGTTTGTTTATAGCTCTTCAGGAGTCTTTAATGTGCATCCAGGGCTGAGAACCACAGCTCTCATCTCCTGCTTGCATGTGCAGCTGATAGAGAGGGCAGTAGGAAATGATGAGACCAAAGGGGGCAGCCTTTTGGAAGGAACTAGGTGGATGAGGCTTGGGCAGGAGCCACCTAGATAACTGACAGTCTTTGGGGTCTAGTTGTAATGCATTACTGAGATCTGGAGCCCCGGAGCAGCAGGCTGGAGTTCAGTAAGAAGTCTAGGCAGGGGAAAGAGGCAATCGCACCCAAAGGCAAGTGCATCCCCGGAAGCCAAAGAAGGTCTGGTTGGTCATGCATATCCTTTCCCTGGCAGGGAAGTTAACTCCCCACACCTCAAGGGGGCCCCACTGTCCTTGTTCTGCTGTCAGAAGCTTCCTGACTAGCTTTCAGCTTTGAGGTTTTGTTTCCTGATCTTCTAGTGTGGTTGAGAAAACCAGTGACAATTTTAAGGTTTTTCCTTATCATCACCCTTTCAGAAATAAAACATGTGCCAGAGGATACTCACAGTCCAGCAGAGAATGGCAAATCCAAACCAGGCAACCCCCCAGGCCTGTCGGTTCATTGGTCCAGAGATGAGTTCATAGCAACCCTGGAGGGGAGGGGATGATCCACATTGGTGTGAGAGCAACCAGGACAAAAGATGTAAGAGATCAGTGGGAAAGCAGATTACTACTTGGGTGGATGCCTTCCAAAGTCCAGTTTCACAACCAGGCTATTTCCACCTCCCTGTGGACATTCAGCTACTAGAAGTCTTTTGCTAAAGGAATATAAGTAACACTGTTGAATTATTAGTCTACATCACATTTATTTGTATCTTTATCCCTCAGTCGTATTAGCAAAACTGTTACTATATATATATAATATTTTCCCCATATTGAATATGTGGATAATACATGCTCAATAAAATTTGAATTTTTTTCTCCTCCCCAAAGGGCTGAATTACTTTTTGATTTGTTCATTCATTTTACTTAAAAGTAAAAATGATTCTGGTTATGAAAATCAGAGGTCTTCTGTAGTCATTTAAAAATAACTATTAAAGGAATCCCGCCCAACATTATGCTCCCTAATTCTCATTTGACATCATTATTTCAACATTATTGGATTCCAGTGAGCTCTCAAGGAGCCATGATACATTTGCAAAAGAGTGATTAACTTTTTTATTCATTTATTCATACATGCCACAATTCAGTGAGCATTTATACATGGCATACTCTGTTCTAGCCACCTGGAACAATATCCATATGTAAGGCTAGAACTGCCATCTGAGCAACCTTTACTAAAGCCCTAGGAATTATAAGGAATCCCTAGGAAATTCAGTAACAAGGGTCAATGGCACGGACCATGAGGTTCTGAGGCAAAAGTGCTAGATTTACCAGAAAATGTCAGCAGATTCCAGCAGATACCCTAGGCTTACCAAGTTCAGGCTCCATTCAGTGACCACACATGGCCACTTGAGCTTCTATCCTCATGACTCTGCCCCAGTCCCTTATTAATCTACATTTGTGTCCTTCCTTTGCTTTTCTTTGATTTCTTTACCATTTTACTCTTCTCCATTTATATTACAGGCATTTTCATTTTCTAAATGGCCTAGTGAAAAAATCTTCAAATTATCTTTAACTTTTTTTTTCTTTAGCCAACATGCAACACTTGAGCAAATCTTTTTAGTTTGGCTATAAAAATATATCCCATCCAAAAGCTTCCTCCCCCTGGTACCACCTTGGCCTCTCAGGCTCTCACTTCAGGATTGCAACAATGCCCTCCCAATTGTTCTCCCTGAGGCTTGAGTGAACTCATAAGATCTAGACCCATCCTTGCCTGATAGCCATCCTTCACCCATCATGACCCCATCAGACTGACCTCCTTGGTGTTCCTCCAGAAATCTAAGAAGCCTCCCACTGGAGGGCCTTAATGTTTTTTGTTTCCTTTATTTAGAATTCTGTCCCCCAATCTTCCAGTGTCTCATTTTCTCACTTAATTCAGAATTCTGCAAACATCATCCTGACCAAGCCTTCCCTGACAACTAGAGTGAAAACCTCCTTCCCCCATCATTCTTTGTATGGTTACCCTGCTTTGTTGCTGCTCATGGCATTTATCACCCCCTGGATTTCTACCACTTATTTGGTGCCATGTTTATTATTTGTCTCCCATACAAGAAGGCAAGTGCCACAAGGGCAAAGATTTTGTCTTGCTCATTGTTGAATCTCCAGAATGAAGAATAAGTGCCTGACACATAGAAGACACCTAGTAACATTTATAGAGCAAATGGAGCATGATATTAGGGAATGATTACAACAGCATCTTTTACAATACAATTGAAGGTTCACAAAACACTCCCATCCTCCTGAAGGTCCTGGGAGGTGATCGTTCATCTAATAATATATACAAGAATCCTTTAGGTGCCAGATGACAGGTGGGCATTTAACTGTGACAAGACAGAAATAGGTCTTGCCTTCATGGAGCTCACAGACTAAAGTCCCAGTTTTTCATCTCTTCTCTTTAGTATTTTCACAACTGTAATCATTTCAGTGGTGTTTACTTCCTTACATCATATTAATCTTAAGGTGTAGTGATCAGTATTTGCATTTAGCATTTCTGAAGCAGATAGAGCATGATATAGCATGATATATATATTTGCAACTGACCTGTGAAATTCTGATTGGTTTCTACCATTACCACACTTATGATGGCTTTGCTAATTATGTTAGTCTTCATGTCTGTAGCAGCACATTTGTGCACTATAAATCTTAAAAAGCTACAGTGTGAATGTAAAAAAGACAGCCCTTCGCTTCTTCATTCACTCACCCACCAAGCATTTATCCAGTGCCTGCTTTGTGCCAGGTATTATGCTAAGGATTGAAGACATAGAAATGAATAATATAAGTCTTTAAAGAGACTCAGAGAAAACAATAAGGAACAAACATGACAGATCAAGGTGCTGAATGCAATAGCAGGAATATAGTAGGCACTGAGTGGAACAGTTAGCTTTGTGGAAATGATTTCTAGGAGGAAATTAGCAGGACATATAAGTCAGGGAATGGGGTGTGGGTGAAGCTGGGGGAGCAAGATAGGGAGAATCAGAAAAATGACTAGTAGATCAGAGAGTATGTTGAGGGCAAAGAATGAATGAAGTTGAGGAAGTAGAAAGAAGCACAGAGAATCAGGGACCAGGAGAAATTTCAGAACTAAGGAATTTGGTGGAGGAGTAAGGCTGAGTGATGTCGATTTGTGGTTGTGGTTCACTGGAAGGTGGTGGAGGTGGAGATGTCAAAGACAGATGAGACCAAGGAACTGAAAGAGAAGGTGTAGAAGGGTTGTCACAGTTGATGTGGAGGTCCCAAGACAGAGAGAAGAGAAAGAGTTAAATCTTATTTAACCTCAAATTTTTATCTATGCAAACTTGAGAAAATGCACAGTTTTAGGCTTGTTTTCATAACTAGAATATCATATGTGCTAGAGAAAAAAAGTGTTGCTATGAAAGAAACCAATCATCTGAAGGTCGAACAGTCTTTTTTGGGTCTTATTTAAAGAGGTGACACAGTGTATAAATAATTACAACCCAATCAAGGTTGGTTTGCATGAGCCAGTTCCAATGTTGAAATATTAAGAGCATTTTTTAAGTTGTGAGAGTGATAGTTATATTTCATGCTGTGATTATAAGCAACAAATTTAATTTTTATAACTGAAAATAATTGGTTAAAACAATTCCAGAACAAAGCTGCCGTACAGCTAAATGTGGGTTGCTCTGAACACCGCTTCAAAATCATCTCCATCATTCTGATGTCGTTCCCGAACTAATGTATTCAATTCTAGTCTGAGCATTTGCCAGATGTGGTGTGATGATCAGCAGTACAGTGCCTGTCACTCTGACAGGCAGTTTGTATCATTCACTCCCAAATTAAAGAGCATGACATTTCCCAATTATTGAATAAACCAGCAACCAACCAGGTTTCCTCAAAGGGCTAACTCCCAAAGTAGTGCACAGCTTGAGTGTGCAATGTTGTGCACAGTGGCTACAGGTCTGTGGGAGCTCACCACAGGGCTTCTGGGGACAATTACCAAGTCTATTGGCTTACTGTCTGTTCCCTGAGCCAGACTGCTTGGGTTTGAATTCTGACTACCTTTTACTAGTTGTGTGACCTAGGGCAAGGTACTGCTTAACATCTCTGTTTCTTAGTTCCTCATCTGGAAAATAGAGATCACATAGGTACCTACTTTTGAGCATCAAAGGTGTTACTATATTTATGGCACTCAGAACAGCATCTGGCATCTAGTAAGAACTCAGTGAATGTTTCACAATCATCATCATATTATCCTCATCTGCTTGGAGATACTTTTTCATAAACCATCTGTGTGTAAACCATCTTTGACCCAAATTACCAATCAAACATTTTATTAAGATTGCCTCATATTACCAATGAATAAGAAATGTGGATACATAATTACCGCATGTACCCTCTGCAATTGCCATTGCTTTGAAACTAGCAAAACATTCTTTTTGGTATCATCCCTTCTAATATATACACTTTGCAAAAATAGAGCAAATCTTGGTTTTATGTAACTGTTTCTTGAAATACCAATTCTAGACATTATACAAATATTCATTTAAACAAAGTTGGATTTCACCCTTGCAATTCTCCTGTTTTGTTATTTTATTAAAATATAAATGTGTCCATATCAATTATAGATTAGCATTCATAATAATTTCACAAAAAAGGAACCAATTACTATGAGTTTAGGGAAAAAAAAAGACAGAATTCCTTACTGAGGAACTAGTACTTACTGTAACCATTATCTTTTTCTCATAAAGAGAGCCTTCTGGCAGTTCTTGGGAGGGGAGGGGACTCACCTGATCGTGATAATAACCAGGCACTCCTAGTTTGCAAGCCTCCAGGTTGAGAGGCTCTTTAAGGGTGTTCATGACACAGCACTGCCGAGGCCAGGGATAGTCAGCATCATTGTTTTCAGTCCGGAAGGCGGATGTGTATTTCTGCCAGTCTGATGGACCATTTACGCCACAGCAGTGATCCTGCCAGTGGATAAGAGATACACAATTCTTTTTCATGGTCTTTCCTGGAGCCATCAATGTAGCAATTGAGTTTTAGAGAGAGAAAGAAGATATGGAATGTATACCATATCTTACGTTTACTAAAATATTCCCAAACTAGAGTTGAAGGCAACAATAACTTACATTCAGAGTTTGCAAAGTATTTTTCACATTTTTTACTTTACTAGCCTTTAATGAGCCCTGTAGCTTTCGACATGGTTAAAACTCTCTAAGACTCATTTTTCTTAATTGCAAAACTGGGATAAATATAGTATCTACTTTACAGAGTTTTTGTGAGGATTGAATGAGGTAATGTACTTAGGAGGTTGGTACAGTGCTTGGCTCATAGTAAACCCTTAATATATCTTTATTATTAATACTAATATCTTGATACAACAATGTGAGAGAGATATCATTATTCTAATATTACACATGAGCAAATTTAAATGCAGAAAATTAAAAATTAGTGGTGTAGAAATTATAAGTAATTCTTGTTTTGCTTTTCTGCATTTTTACCATTTTTTCTGAATAATTATGTATTACATTTATAAGGGAAGAAAATAAACTGGAAAAAAAGTGTTAAAACCTGGTGTCATGTATCTGTGCCTCTTCACAGAAAAGGAAGATCAATTGGCACGTAACTGATATCCTTATGTTGGCTGGAATGCAAGATAGAGAGGATGAAGCAACCCATATCACTTTTCTTCTTTATCATAAATTCTGCTAAATGTTTCAAGGGAGGAAATTTAAGCTACCGGTATCTCTCAACTTTTAGAATAAATGTACCCTAGCAAACTTGATGATAAAAATCACGTTTACAGGGTATCCAATTTTGCCACTGGAGAATTGGAAATATTTGATCAAGAGAAATAATTCTTCTGTATTTGACTGGAGCATTCTGGGGAAAAAATGGTTAAGTTTGAACCATGCTTGTTTCAGACCAGGATTTAGGTAGGAACAGAGAAGAGTTAAGAGTCTAGAATTGAGCCCTGTAGTACCGTAACACTTAGTTGGGAAAGGGTGAAAACCCAGCAAAGGGGGTCAAGTAGGAGTAGCCCATGTGACAAATGCTGATGGGATGTCAATAAGATGAGGACAGAAACTTAGTCGTTGGGGTAGGCAGGATGGAGGTAACTGGTACCATGATAAAGGCTGATTTGGTGGAGTGGTGGGGTCAGAAGCCAATTATAGTTGGATGTAAGCAGATGAGAGGCATGAAAATACAAACAGCAAGTGTTGGCATCTCTTTCAAGATGTGCCATGAAATAAAAGAGTTGTGGACAGAATGGTGGGAGAATGTGGAGAAGAGTTTTTTGTTTATTTATTTATTTTTTTTTTTAAAAAAATATACAACTGAAGAGTTCTTGAAGGCTGATTTTTTGGGGAAACTAATGAAGCAGATGAGAGCAAGGAAGATTGTTGAAGTGAAGGAGAGATGTAGAGTAAAAAGCAAGGATTTGGATAATGGACAGTCCAATTGTCATCACTAGAGAGAAGGAAAAACACACGAGGGCAGAAACATGTTAACGGGCAGATTTGGTGATAGAGATGAGATGAGATGTTTTTGTCTGATTCCTTCTATATTCTTTATGTGTGTGGGGGGGTGGGGACTGGGTATTGAACTCAGGGGCACTTGACCACTGAGCTACATCCCCAGCCCTATTTGGCATTATATTTAGAGACAGGGTCTCACTGAGTTGCTTAGCACCTGACTTTTGCTGAGGCTGGCTTTGAACTTGAGATCCTCCTGCCTCAGCCTCCTGAGCTGCTGGGATTACAGGTGTGCACCACCATGCCCAGCTTCCTTCTAAATTCTTAATAGAATATGAAGTGAAATCAACAGCTGAAAGTAAGGGGGAGGAGAGAGTTTTCAGATGTAAAGAGAGGGGAGAATATATGAAATACTAGAAAACGAATTTTCACTAGAAAAAATACTAGGAAATATAGAGTGCCTATTTGAGCCTTACGGTCAAAAATTTAGATTTAAATTAGTCACCAGGGTTGTGTAATGTTTAGCTCTTAGGGTGTAGCTAAAGAGTGGGTGAAAATTGTATTCCCCTTGTGGGGGTCAGTTAGTTCCCTGATGAACAGCAACAGGTAAGGGAGTAAAGGAGGCTGATGAGGGGCAGGTAAGGAGGGAAGAGAACATGAAAAGGGTGATATAGCGTGAAAAGATGGCCAATTAATTGGAGATCCTGAAGGAAAAAAATTATTGGGATGGAAATATAAGAATAAATGAAGAGGGACTGGGGCTGAGGCTCAGTGATATAGTGCTTGCCTTTCATATGTGAGGCACTGGGTTTGATCCTCAGCACCACATAAAAATAAATAAACAAAATAAAGGTATTATGTCTATCTATCTATCTATCTATCTATCTATCTTTATATATATATATATATATATGAATGAAGATAAAATAGAAGACAGTGGACAGAGTGGGGTTTTCTTAGCATAATTATTGGTAATGACACACTAGCGATAGCCATGGAAGAAGGTGGCTGAGCTAAGGTGGAGGAGACCTTTGGAATGGTGTAGGACAGGGAATTGAGAGATCACGTGTTTCTGAGTCATCCATGTGGTTGTCAAAGTCTCACCCTAGACCCATGACAGGAATATGAATGAAGAGTGGACAGTGAGTGAGATATCGAAGTCCCCAATGAAGGGAATGACTGATTGGAAGGTGGTTGATAAATAATCATAATAAAGAAGGGTAATGGGCCATACAGACTGATGTCATGAAGGAGGAATGAAGGAAGGAAGGAAATAGTATGGCAGCCAAGTAGAACACGGAGGCACTTAGTTAATTTCCAGTTCCCCTGGTGCATATGGGGAGAGGGAAGTGAGAGGATGAAGGGAAAGTAGTCACTAGGAGGCAGTTGAGTTTCTAGTAAAGCAAGAGAGAAAAGGATGAGTTCAAAGAAGGAGTGGACATTATGAGGGGGTTTGCTGAAAAGTTGGTGGTGGGGTAGGGAGCAGGAGCAGGGTAGGGAGAGTTGGGTCACATTGTGGGTATGTAGAAGATAACAATTTATATGCATATGGCAATATGGGGGTCATATTCTGAAAGACTTGGACTTCTGATGGTATTTGAGATAAACTGGATGGTATGATTGCCAGTTAGAAAAAAAAATTGGGTGATTAAATCAAGTTATATCCCCTGTCCTTAGCAGAACTGACACATGGGAGGTATAGAAATGTATCAGAAAGGTAAGATAGGCAGAAATTGCCATTTGAGTAGGCATTTTTCTTTTAATGTGAATAAGACCTGCCTTCTAAGAAGTACAGCACATGATTAATGTAAATTTCTTTCATCTACTTGCTATGAAGGTAAAGCGAATCCACATCATGACTTGAAATTAAACATATATTTAGGGATCCCATTGAGTCGTGTGTTCAACACTCTCCTCGTGCACCCCTGTCTCCACCAGTAAATAAGAGGCCTAGATGACCTTGCCTATCACAAGTTTCTTTCTGGAGGAAAGCCCCCTAGAGATGCTGACTTCACTCCCAACCATGTCCACCTGGCCACTGGTCTAGCTACAAAATGGCATCTCCCCAGGACCACCCACCTTACCTGGAGCATGAGCCTGTCCCAGGTTTTGGTGACTCCATTGTTTTTCCACTGGTCATCGTTGCTTGGAGGGCTGTTGTTTTGGTACCTCACCAGCATCTGCTTCAGGAAGAGGTTGGGTGTGAACTACAGGGACAGAGGCAAAAATAAGAGGGAGAGTTAGCATACTAGTGCCCAAAGAAGGGAAAGTATTCTTCTCACCTGTTGCTGAGGACTCTGAACATTCTCTTAGAGCAAAACCATACTCAGAGATGCCAAGTGTAGTGGGCTAAGGCTGCCTGGTTGGCTTAAGTCCCTATGTGGGGAAGAAACCCCCATCTTCAAAGTAGTTACTGTGACCAGGGTGAACAGATATTATAGGGTGTCATAGGGTAGGGAAACAGCAAGAAAAGAAGAAAGAAAGATAAGTCTTAGCTGAGGTAGAATATGGGTCAGAGTGGAGATGAGCCTATGGTTACCAGGTTGGACCCTGGGAGTCAGGTTGCCTGGGGTCAGAATTCGGCTCTTTCTCACCTGTTTGCTGTGCAACTTCAGATGAGTTTTGTTACTTTATCTTCTTTTTTGGGGGGAGGGGCGTGTACTGGGGATTGAACTCAGGGGCACTGAGCCGCATCCCCAGCCCTATTTTGTATTTTATTTAGAGACAGCACCTCACTTTTGCTGAGGCTGGCTCTGAACTTGTGATCCTCCTGCCTCAGCCTCCCAAGCTGCTGGGATTGCAGGCATGCGCTACCGCACCCAGCTTACTTTACCTTCTTATGTCTCATTATTATTATTTTTCATTTATAAAATGACAGGAGATACTGCCTATCTCCTAGGTTTATGAGTATTAAGTAAAATTAACTATCTATTATTAGTGTGCCTATTAGCATGCCTGGCACACAGCAAGGGCTTAATGCATGCCAGCTATTATGTTATTATGGTAATGGCGATTCATTATCATTTCTGCTTTGTGCTTTTGGGGAGCATACTCACAAAGTCTCGTTGCGTAGCTGCTGTGATGCAAGATGCGACTTCAAAACCATATACTATAAACATCAGAATGAAATACTGGAAAGGAAACATACAAGAAAAAAGAATTACATTTATCCCCCAAAAGAGACTTCCCCAAATGATGGCTATCATTTTCCAGCACTTTAACCTAAATATAGTCATCTGAACATTCATGCAGTTATCACACAAGGCTTCTTTGATCAGCTGGTTGGAATCGGGCTTCGTTCTAGGTGCTGGGTGCAAGGCTTTGTGCTGGTCAGCAAAACCCTATGATTTTCTCAGGAGAACAAGTGGCCATTTGTTCAGGTTGGAATCCCCATTGGGGGAAGAGACCTCCATCTTCGAGGTCACTGTATGATCAGGGTGGATAGAGCTTTCTCATCCAGTTCCTGAATTTCTAGTTTAACTGAGAAAAACAAATGCAAGAGAGTGAATTGATGTGTGTGTGTGTGTGT